CTTGCGGTACGTTTTCGATGGGATGTATATATATTAAATATATAATATATAATATAATATAAAAATCGAATTTCGGAAAAGTTATAAAAAAATTTATAAAGCACAGTGAAAGATAATGCTCCCGAATTGAAATGTTGAATCATACCTTTAAATAGTGATGTTGCTATATCAATCTTACCCAGCCCCTTTTTTTGTAAAACACCATGCCACTGGTAGATTAATCATCGATATTCTAGAATGAAACTTCATAGTTCTTGAAGATTCCGCGGCAGTACTTAAACTTACAATTTACAAATACGTAACACTTTACTGAAAATCGTCAGAAGTGGAAAACGAAGAAAAATGAAAAATTTAAATCATAAAGAGCAATAATGTTTGCAACATGTGATGATTAAATAATTAATACCGTGCAATTTTATTTACATTAGTGACATAAATTGTGAACTATTGGATATCTCTATTATTCTGAATTAACGAAATACTTCACAGCAAAATGTGAGTAAAAAAGGAAAACATTTTACTTTGCTTTTCATTCGAAAATATTGTTGGAAATTCTAAAAATTTGTTTCGCAACCAAATAAGTGAAATTTATAATTGACAAACTTTTCCAGAATTTTCTTTAAAATTCTTGAACAAATTATCTTGAGGCCGTTATAGCCAGGAAAACATTTTGGGAACTACTATACTATCTATCTAAATGTCTACTTTGCCTCTTAATTTCATATACAGGGTGTCCCACAGGATGTAAAGTTCACAAAATTTAAGAGGACATTTCTCATGTAAAAATAAGTAAATCATGTTTATATAGGTATACCTTGACCCAAAAAAATACCATTCTAACTGAGAAATGTCCCAATAAATTTTATGAACTTCCTCGTGGACTTCCTGTATTTATACCTCCTTACAGAGGAGTTAATAATTAACTTTTTTGATTTTCCAGAAATTTCTATTTAGCAATCAGAAATTCTGGTTTTGGATTCACACAAAAAAGTTCTGCTTTGACAATTAATTTGTTGGCATAAAAGTGTCATCCTGAATTTTTTCATCATGATTTTTTTCAATATCATTTGTGATTCTGGAATTATACTTCTACAAAAGCTGTAAGTCAAAATTCTAGAAAATTCCATTTGAATAACAGTAAATACAAGTAATATTCTACTCGCACTTAATATTTGCATCAAATAAATACATAATTAGCTTAGTTATAGTTCTGGAAGTTCTAAAACACTACAGACTATTGATTTTTTATAAAATAATGATCTCGGAAGCTGAATTTTGTTGAATTCTTTTAAAAAAAATTAAATTCCACTCCTAACAGATAGTTTTAAAGCTACGAAGAAGAAAAAGCTAGATTTGGGTTAATGTCGTCATGTCACATATGTATATTTTATTTGCATGTGCATAATTAACACTCATTTTGTGTTAAAATTAATTTCTTCTTGTTTCAGGTGTGCGGCCTGAGAGATTCTACACCTTACCCAACAGAAAAAAGAAGGACTACTCATCGGCCTCTCTGGACAGGCGAATAAAACGCAGAGGTTCCCTAGAACTAGTGCCACCGAAGAAACCGCCCCGTACTTTCGTGGCTAGTTCGCAACCCCCGCAGAAAACCTCCATATTCGACATATTTAAGAAAGATAAGAAACCGGAACCAAAGAAATCGAATCTTCGTCGTAGTGTTAGTGATGCGTCAAACTTAAAATCTAAAACGTACGGTCCGTCGAATAACGAACAACCCTATAGGAAACGATCGGGTAGTGATGCTGAAGATGTTCTAAATAATTCCCGAAACTCGAAGAAGCAACTGTCACCGATTATAGAGGTGACACAACGTGAAGACTATTTTACACGGGTTGATATAGAGCATGACAAAGAAAACATCAACAATAACGAAAACTTAAATGATTCGGTTAAGAGAAATGACAGCGTAACTGAGAAACTTAAAGAGTATATTGACGAGGTAGACGAACAACTCTTCAAAGAAACTGGTGTGAAAATTAGCCCACCGAAAGAAGAATCTAGTGAACCCCTGCCTATTATTATAGACGTAGAAAAAGCGGAAAAGATCTCTGGAAAGAACAAAAAATTCAAGGATTCTGCTCTTGGTAAAAAACTAAAATCGATAACACACAAGAAGAGCAAAATCAATGAAGCTGGGAAGAATAAGAAATCACTGTCAAAAACCAAAGTCAAAGAAAAGGAGCCTGCTTCAAAGTCTGAGAAGCAGGTCAAATCACCAGTGAAGGTAGAAGAGAAACCCAAAACCGAAGAAAAGGTACCTTTAGGTTCCCTTTCTCCATCACCTAAGATAAAGGCGGCGGTGGAAAATTTCGAAAAGTTGAATAGAACTTCGCCTACCATGATTCACAGCAGTCAAAAACCGGCGGATAAGCTCCCTTTGACTAAAGGCCGGACCGTGAACTCAATGGTAAAACGTCTTAGCAACGATTCTTGTTCACCACCACCTCCTAAAACAAGTATAATGATTACACCGCACGGCTCGGTGCAACATAACAACAACCAACCATTTTCTTACACCCGCGGTTTGAGTCCAGAGAAATACATGTCGAATGAAAATTTACCTAATCCAGGAAGTCCTATAATTTATGCACAAGTAGTTTGCGGTTCGAACGGTACAGGACCGGCAAAACAAACAGTGCATGCCGCTTACCCAAATGGAAAAAAACACCCCCACTCAGACTCCGACGAAGGCTTAGGTGGGGAAGAAAATTCGGGCTTCAGTCGTTTGGACAAAAGTGTTACCCACTTCGGCGACGATCGCTACAATGGAAACAGTTTCAGGAAATCCCGTGACGAATACTTGGACGACGACAAGTTTGAAGAAGAGAGTCCTATAACGCCGAAATTCAGAAACCCAGCGTACCTAAACGGCTTTTCTGATTACGAAAGGAAAATAAATGAGTCTTCCAGGTTGGAGTATTCCGGATACATAGATTCCTCCTCTAGGGGAAGAGGTGATGGAATGGATGCCAAAAGACGCGAAAGCTTAACAGAAAACGAAAATGGCTTCGCTTCAAAAACTTTAAATGGTCATGGTCGTACTGACCTGAGTGCCAGGAGGGATTTGTTGGAGTCTAGGATAAAAACCAGACTGCAAGACAACAGTTTGAGAATTTCTCCTGAGTACATCCAAAACACCACTCCTACCAACATTTACATCTCTGAAACTACTTCAAAGTACTACAGAGGAGGTTCAGCTAGTCCAGTAGGTTACACGGAGAAATATGTTTCGGAAAGTCGAACGGACAAATACGGGCAGCCCCGTAAAGTCGAATCGAGATCCAAGCATTACTTCGGCGAGCGTAAAGATAGTTTAGAGTACGAAAACCACGTGAAATCTAACGGTTATCAATATAACGGCTTCGATAGTGAGCCCAAGAGTTTCGATTCTCAGATAAGCGACTATAGATCATCTCCGGAGAATCGACACTTTGAAGCTAGTCATAACAAGTCAAACAACAGGTATAATAGTAGGAGCGAGAACCAGAAAATCTTAAAAAATAGGGATATGTATAAGTCAACTCCGGAGATCCATCAGAAAAGTTATCGCGAAGAATTCCACGACTCCTACCATGATTCCCTGAGAAGGGATAAAGTAGAAAACAGGGTTACGAATTCTTCAAAGTACAGATCTGAGCGATATCTAGACCAGAGCGAAAGCGAGAGGAAGGACAAGTTTGGGGATTCCGGAATCGAAAACGACTTTAGGCGCGACTCTGGAGAAAACTTCCGCGTAAGCCGTCCCTCGAAATCCAGACGGGAATACTGCAATGAAAGCGAAGACGAAGGGTTCGCTAGTTCTCTTCTCATTGCCAGCGAGAGACAACACACTGAAGATAATATCAATCACAGGAAAAGAAGGGACTACGATTCGGACAGAGCTAATTCCAGGGAGGACGATTCTTACAGGAACATGGAACATATGGATTACAAAAGCAAAGTGCGACACGATTATGTTCCCAGAGAGAGAAGCATAGATGATGGATCTCACTACGACCCCCGCATCGATAAAGATGGGGACAGATCCACTCTCAAACGCGTAGATAAGAAGCCACCGAAGCCGGAGAAGAAGAGTGGATTAGAAAAGGTACACTGTAAGTGTTGGACAAGCTATTTTCACTTAGGAAATTTCTTGCAGGTTAAGTCGCTTTTTACACGTGACAGCAAAAAGAAGAAGGAAAAGCAGCAACCCGGAATGGTACCTGAGGAAAGCTTGAGAGCAAGATACGTGGAATACAAGGGAAGAGATACTGTTGATTCAAAATTGAAGAAGAAGCAAGTAAAAGACGTCCAAGCGGTAAGTGTCTTTAAAATTATATTCACTAAAAGGGATGAAGAAAACAGTACCATTTATAAAAAATATAATAACTATTAGTCCATGTATATTGGTAGACATTTTATATTTTCATATGAAATAACATTTGGTCATTCAAGTGATCTTATTCCTCGATAAATGTTCTCATGTTTCCAATGACTTCATATTTTAAATACCTATGTGTTATTGACGAATGTGTTGGCTAGATACATATATGAAGGTATATCGGACCTGTCGCTCGGCCTTTAACCATATGGTGAGTAGGTTGAGCAAGACACGTATGTCCTTGTGTCAGTTCTTTACCGTATTATTCGCTCTGCATTTGCATCGCATTGCACGATATCGTATACTTTGTTATCTACTTTTACACAGACAATAATAATTTGTCGCAACTACAACGCTATTTATAGAATCCAATCAGTAAATTACTTTTCCGATAATATACGATCAACGGCGATTAGTTTTTTTATTTATTAAATAAAAAGGAACAGTTATGAATTTGTTGTAGTTATTATTAGAGCACGGGTGATTGGAATTTTTTGTACCACTATTCTCATGCTTAGAAAATGACCGACCAAGAAACTGTTTACTTTATTGTGTTGTAAATTAGGATATTGCCGAAAGGTGAAATTAAAAATTCTTTTAGTCATTTTTATTACTTCTTTATAGCTTGTTATTGTCAATTACGAATACATAAGTCTTAAATTAGAGATTTTAAATAATATTTACGCTTTGTTTGGTGACGTTAGAGGCCCCCTTAGGAGTTCTTTCCTAAATAAATAAGTATATGAGTGTGAAATAGCTCTGGAATGTTTAAATGGAAAATAAATTGTTTGTCGACCCTACAAGTTATCTTGTTATATACTAAATAAAAGAATATATAAACACAAAATAATTACACTTCAGTTGAAATATAACATGTCTAATACAAGGTCTTTAGTTCGCAGAGTAGTTGTTTCGTACAATACAGGGTGTCCCGAAATTCATGTAACAAAATTTGGTCATAGATTCTTAAGACAAATTTAGGGGACCCGTATTTTTTCTTTTTGCCAACTTTTTATATCTCAAAACCATGTTGTACGAGAATCACTAAATTTGGTACACAGGGGTTTTATGACGTGGAATCTCACAGTGCTACGCTTTTTGGTGAGAAACTCCCTTAAGACACTTTTTCGTGGGCCCTCTTGTCTTTGGAACAAGAAAAATTGGCTTGCAAATTTAATTTTTTTTTAAGAAACTTTTTTGTCTCTTGATATTTTTTTCGTAAAACGCAATGTTTTTGAGGAAAATGGTGAATCACGATATGCATTCGATCACATTTTGACATTTTTCTCGAAACATTGCGTTTTACGAAAAACGTATAAAGAGACAAAAAGTTTCTAAATCTAATGGCTTTCTAGTGGACTAATAATTTTTAAGAAATTTAAATATGCGACCAAATTTTTTTAGCTCCAAAGACAAGGGGGGCCACGAAAAATTGTCTTAAGGGGGTTCGCCGCCAAAAAACGTAGCACCATCAGATTCCACATATCATAAAATCCCTGTGTACCAAATTTAGTGATTCTCGTACAACAGGGTTCTGAGATATAAAAAAAAGATTAAGCTTAGAGGCGGATTCAGGGGGCTATAATTCCGAAAGAGGGGGCCACTTGGCAAAAATACGGGTCCCTTAAATTTGTCTTAAGAATCTGTGACCAAATTTTGGTGCCTTAATTTCGAGACACCCTGTATGGGTTCTTATATGCCTACACGCTAAGGTCAAAGAGCTTAGATAACTTGATTTTATGAAAAATTTTAGATTTCATTTGAATTTAGAAATATTGTACTTTACCAATATAAAGAAATTCTAAATTGTAAAGAAATTTTGAAAGAATTTAAATTAAGGATACATAAAAATAAATCTATCTTGAAGGCCATATATAACCAAAATTATTTTTCCAATCAATTGAAAGTTAAAATATAATGAAAACTATGTAATGCGAATGTAAACTCTCATAAGTATTTTATTAAAATTATTACATTTTACCCGAAGCTTTAAAGACGAAACACACAACTCATTAAGCAAGTGTGTTCTGCATGTAAAACGATATTCTGAAGACGAAACATCTTTTAATTTTATTCTCCCTTATAAAAATATATCATCTTATACTTTGGCTTTCTTAAATTCCCACCTGCAATACTTGTTATCCTGTCTACCGTCTGGAAAACCTGTAATTAAAGTATTCCATATAAACTCGGAATATGAGCATAACATTAAAAAATACTTTACATTATTTCTATAAAAATCATCCTCAGTACTAGTGTATTAACAAAGTACAGACCGAACATAATTTGAAGGTTACATAATAATGGAAAATTTAATCAAGTCAAATATATTATTTTAAACAAATTATGAAACCACATTTATATATTTTTTAATATATACAGGGTGATTCAGCCATAATGTCATTAATTTTAACCATGTATTCGGAAGGCTAAATAAAGACAGAAAATCGAAAAAAAAATTTCTCCCGTTAACCCGGCGCTCTAGTTTGCATTACATATTTTGTTAACTGGGAACGCGCCGGCGCATCACAGGAAATAACTGATTTCAAAATCAAAGTGTAGTCGATCCCAACTTAACAAAGTGCTGTGGACGGATGAGTGAATGTTTTTTTAGCCACACACAGTAAGTTATACGTAGGTACTACAAACTGAATAATTAGTTGAACATAATATTAAACACTCCTATTATAAAACATAGTGAAAACGTACAACTAAATTGCAATAACCTAACATTTGAAAACAGTTATTACTCTTATACATTTGTTTTACATTAACAAATAAATAATACTTGATAATATTTAAACATAAAAAAAATTTCATATTCATTCATGTGCCTAGGAAAGAAAGTCTACCGAACACGGTAGATCAAGATTTACTCAGCGGTCAAGAGCGGTCCGAAAAGGGATTGAAATAATGATTTGAAAATTTTTTTTTTACGTAAATATACATTTTAAAATTTTTTAAATCGCTTATTCGTATTCCACAAATTTTTCCCTACCTTCCCTTAAAATGAATGACATTATGACTGAATCACACTGCCTATGAGAATATTGAATTTTATACAGTGTTCTTAAAAGGCGTTAAAACTAAAATTATTATCAGATGGATGGAATAGCCTGCACCTATTTTATATCATACTTGAATATCCACCAGTTGATATCTGTCATATCATAAGAAAGATTATATCACAAAAATAATATATTGGCAAAGCAACCGTTCAATTTGTCTAAATTCTCGAAATAAAGTTCCCAGATTGATAAAGAACTGCAATCAACTGCCATTTTGGGACAGACTGCACATTAAATTGTAAGTTTGAATTTTTTTAACTTTTTTATGCAACTAATACATTTTCACATAGTTTCAACAGTTTACTATACTAATACCTAATATTTTAATTTAAAATACTACAATAAAAACTTTTTATAGTGTTTTCTTTTTGTATAAATGGTAAAAATTAACATTTGACACATTTTTTGTGAAAATAGAGTATAGTCGGTTGTGGTATTTGGTCAATCTTTATCTCTATCACTATGCCACGTTCTAATATTCATATCTTCCTTATCATTCAGAAATTTAAAATTGAAAGTTTATGGTATCACGCCTTTTAAGAGAGCTCTATATACAGGGTGGTCCGAATTTTATGCAGGAAACTTCCAGGGCTGTTAGATCTCTTTAAAATAATAGGTTTGCCTTATAAACATAGGTCTGGAACGGCCTCGTTTTAGAGATACAGGGTGTTGAAGTTGTTAAAAAAAAATAATTTTTTGTTTATATCTCCGGAATCTATTAACCGATCTGAACAAAATTTGGTACAGATAATGGATGACAGTAGGCCTTGCATTCTCTAAAATATGAGCTCTAAAGGATCTACCAGTGGTGTACAACTGGACAGGGTCACCCTTTTTTTATAAAAAAAACCTACGCCACTGTATTTTTTACAATCTATTGTAACGGATTTATATTCTAATGTACAAAATACGTAAAAAAGGTAACGTGAATTTTTTCCCTAAAGTTCACCGTTCTCAAGTTATTCATACGAATACAATCTCCTTGTGGCGGATACTTCTAACCATAATATTACAAGAATATTTATGTTTATGCTTAAAAGTAAGTGCAATTTGTAAGCACATCAACAAAATTCTTTACACTCGTCGCTTTCATCTTTTGGATTAAAACGATATTTGGAAAATCACGACGGCTCAATGAAAGACACAGAAATGAAATTTTAAGAACATTGGGGTGAGTAAATCGAAAATTTGAAAAGTTCTACATAAGGATGGTAGAAATCCGTACTATTTACAACCTGTGCAAAATTTACTTCCGGGAGATGTAGACACACCTGAATTTTTGTTAGTGGTTGTTTTAAAGTCACAACATAATCCAGAATTCTTACTAGAAATACTTTGGACCGATGAGGCTACGTTCACAAGGCGAGGGGTAGTGAATTTTCACAATATTTGGTCACAAGAAAATCCTCGTGAAATTCGGATAAGATCTTTTCAACGAATTTTCTGGCTCGGAATAATTCGGACTTTATTTCTTGTCACCCCATCTAAATTCCCAGCATTTCTAAACTTTCTAGAAAACCATCTATTTGAATTATTAGAGGATGTTCCATTAAATATACCACAAAATAGCTGGATACAAATGGATGGTGCTCCTGCGCATTTTAGGAGAATAATACAATAATGGCTTAAAAATTATATGGGGCGATGGATAGGTTGAAGACCAAATGCCAATGTCAACCATAATGGTGCAGAGAATCCAGTCTCTTGGCCAGCCAAATCGCCAGATCTAAACCCCCTGGACTTCTACGTTTGGGGTTACCTATCTGAAAAGTAAAGTTTACTCTACTCCACCACAACTACTGCAGCGAATAGAAGAGGGGTGTAATGAATTAAAAGAAAACCACCACATGATATTAGTTAGGTAATTCC